GGGTGAGGGCGTTTTCGTATGCGTTTGGCCAATCAATGTCTACTTATGTCACGATTAGTACCAGTTGTGCTGGTTAGACCCTGCTCCGGAGTAGGAGCTAAGTTGGTTCTCGAAAAAGGCAGTCCGGTACTAAAATCGCACCCAGTTCCGGCGGTGCGAAAACGCCAAAAAGTGGGTAGTTCCACAATTAGTTCTGGTACTATGAAAAGGTTCCCGCGGTGCGAAAGGCCCTATTGAAATCAGAGAATAAACATGTGTGGTGTCATTTCAAACAAAATCTGGCCAAAACGAAGGTGTTTGAGTTTTCTCGTCAGCACAAACTTTCCGGAAAGCTTAACTGTGCCTTTTAAACGCCTTCAAACTGTTATTGATCCATGATTGTTATGTAATAGGTGGGTGTGCTTGGGGCTCTTGGGGTTCTTCGACATGGAAACCTTTTTTTTTTTTAATTGTTTTTTTTTTTTTTTTTTTTTTTTTCTTTAAACTCCATCTGACACAGTTTTCAAATTAAACGTTCAAATTTATAACGCAATTAGTTTTGTATTTAGAGTATCATTTCATTAAAACTTTATTATATAAAATATTTTTATGTAATCTAAATACAAATAAAAATTACAAATTTAATAAAAATGAAAAATGAAAAAAGAAATTGAAAAAATTGGAAAGAAAATCTTTCTAAAGCTATACTTTTTGTAATCTAATAGTCCATTGAGGTCAGACACAACAAAACGTATAAATACGCTGGAGTGGTGAATAGGGATGAGTATTAAGAACCAGAACTAAATTGGTACAGATTCCTGACTGCTTAGTACTGTAGTATTGATAACTGTCAAGGAGTTTCTGTATTTATTATCGGTATTCATTATCTACTGACACAACCACATAGCAGCCATGGGACTTGCTTAATGTTAAAGAATTAAGCACAAGAAGTCAATGTGCAGCTCATCCTGACTGTCTCTCACAACGAATCACCTCTCAGACAGCATGCAGTCCTGATTTTAGTTCTTTCACGGCTTATTGCACCTAATTGGCCAAAATGCACACCTTGGTGAGTATTCTTGTAAACACAGTTGATAAGTGAATGTAACTGTTGGGAACGAATTTGGATTTTGGTATGTTGGATTTATGCATTAGGTCTTAAAGGCCTGTTTTGAATGGTTATTCATATTTTCAACTGTAGGGAAATAAAAAAACAAATTTGCACCATTTTGGAGATTAATATTAATAAGGGCATTAATAAAATCGTAACAATACAATCTTAGGCAAGAGTATATGGTGAGCTTTAACAGCTCTTGGCATATTGAGTCGTATATGGCTGTAATGACTTTAAGTTGAGTGAATTGGATGTTAATTCAATAACCACTCAAAACAAATGATTCATTGAGTGAGTGAGCCATTTGTAACATGAGTCAAACTCATTCGAGTCAATTTGACAGTTAAAAAAAAAACAACAACTCTTCATTGGAGTCATTCATTCACAAACCGTGTAGTCTAGATTTGCATTGTCATGTTCAATCAGTAAATATAACACAATAAAAAGGTTGACTGATTGCTGATATGACATGAATAAACAATTCTTAATTAATTCGGAGAGCAAAACTAAAATAATCAGGATTGAAACTAACATTTGGCAACTAATTTGTTACCAACCATTCAGAACTTTTACAAGCTTAAAAATATCAGAAATAAACCAGGTTATTAAAGTCACAGCTTGTCAAATGCCTCCTCCTGACCTTCAGTTCATACATCCCTAACAAGTGGAAGATGGAATATGACTAATTGATAAAATATTTGAAATGCACCTTATTTGTTGTTAACTGCACAACCAAATCATACTGGATCATTCAAGACTCATAGGTTTCTGCTTATAGGTGAAGCTCCCCATTATGTCTTCAGGGTCAATGAATCATGGTTTGTGGTTTGCATTTGCCTGTTAATATTCTGGCTTCCCTTTACTTAATGGCATTTGTCATTGTAAACTCAAAGGTATTTTTTTTTAAATGGCAAAATGCACTAATGGGCACTTTTGGCATATGTACAATAATACACAAGTGTTGCACACGTGGCATGTCTCCTCGCCAGTGTACTATAGCGTTATTCCAATTTGCTTGTTTCTGGAGGTCCAGTGCTTCCAGAGGTAGTCCAACTCATTTGACCAGATTGCTTTCGTAGTTTAAATGCTCATGTGGACAAATGAATTTGAACAGCCATAAAAGACCGTCTCTTTGCCTACTGACCTGATTCTTAAATGTTACAGGACGTGTTGTTGAAGCGCACTATCCAGACAGGAGAACTTTGAAGTGCAAGACGCGTAAAAAGCACAGTGTTCTCTAATCACTCCTGTTTCTAACACAAACACACAATACCTATGTGTCCATCCAAAGTTGCAAATTTAACTTATGCGCAAAATTGGAATATCACATAAAACATTTGTGAATAAAGCCCCGTTTCCATCCAACGAGACTAAGATCAAAACCATCACTTCCTGATAAACTGGCACTAAATATCACTAATTAAAGTAGGAGAAGCCACTGTATATAATAATTTTCATTTAAATTACTTGCACCTCAGAGCAAGCAGACAAAACGGCATAAATGCAGTCATTGCATTGCTTTCAGAGGTGGATGCTGCTGTTTGGGAATGCAGTCGTGTAAGACAGTTCTGGGAGACAATTATACAGAAATACTTTGACGACAGAGTGTGCTCAGGCATTTCAGAATGACCATAACATTTCAGATCGATTCAAACGAGATCAGTCCGCTATTTAGTTATGCCATCCCATCACGCAAAATCACATGAATTTTTTTTTTTTTTTTTTTTATGCACATGGAGGAATTTATTTGGTAAATGTTTTCATCTTCCACTATTCGCATTAACTCTTTTTCACACTAGTCAAAAACCACCTCAAGCAAGTTTAAACTTTTTTTTTTTTTTTCCCCGAATTTTGGCGTTTGCGTCACTCGTTTCTGATGCAATACTGCAAAATGCACAAAAGCAGGATGATGGAAACCTACACGGTGTTTGGCGGCTATCAGATGTATGGTTTCTGTTTGCTCCTTTCACGTTCTTAAATTGCGCGAGCTTATTTCACAATATTAGAACGAAAGATCAGGAAAAAGCCCATAAATACACCCGCCCTTAGACCCTCTCCTAAAAAGAAATTGAGACCAAAGTGGACAAGACGGATTAAAACAGCAGGTGTAAACGGGGATGTGTCTCCCTCATCTACTTGTGATCTGATTGACCAAAACACATCTTAATACCAGGTGTAAACAGGGCTTAATAGTTACTTTGGTTCTAGTAGAGACAGCTCATTGAAGTGAAAGTGATTTTTTTATTTGTTCCTTTATACTTAAAGGGGTCCTATTATGCTTTTTTTTAGTTAGTCTGTAATGCTGCTGTTTGAGCATTAAAAAAAGATCTGCTACGTTACAAAGCTCAAAGTCCACTTCAAAAGGAGATATTTTATTTAACAGAAATGCAGGTGTAAACGGGGATGTGTCTCCCTCATCTACTTGTGATCTGATTGACCAAAACACATCTTAATACCAGGTGTAAACCGGGCTTAATAGTTACTTTGGTTCTAGTAGAGACAGCTCATTGAAGTGAAAGTGATTTTTTTTATTTGTTCCTTTATACTTAAAGGGGTCCTATTATGCTTTTTCACTTTTTCAACTTTAGTTAGTCTGTAATGCTGCTGTTTGAGCATTAAAAAAAGATCTGCTACGTTACAAAGCTCAAAGTCCACTTCAAAAGGAGATATTTTATTTAACAGAAATACAAAACAAAAATACAGAAATTTTCAAAAACTACAACGACCAACTCGTTTGGACTACAACGCATATTTTCCGGGATGTGTGATATCCCAAATACCGACGAATGGGACGAGACCTGGTTGAGCTGCACTAGAGAAGGCAACGAGTGTTATCACTATGTTGGAGACACGCTAGCTTTCCCAAGGCAGACGTACTTCCCAAGGCAAACGAGAGTGGTTACAATCATCCGGGTTTAAATTTGATTTGATTTTGACGCAATATTTACACTGAAGCTCGCAGGCGGCTATGGTAAGGGGCGTGACATTTTCCGACCAGGCACCGAGTGCTGCCAATCACAACACACACTGGCCCAGCTAACCAATCACAGCACATTTCGTATTTCAGAAGGCGGGCCTTCATTTTATACAGGAACTATTCGAGGCGTTCATGCCAGACTGGGGAGAGAGGTGTTGTAATAATGTAAAATATGTGAATGTGTTTTTTGAACAACCTAGTATGAGAAGCCTCTTCTAGTACACCCCCAAAACAAAATCAAGACTTTGTAAAAGAGCATAATAGGACCCCTTTAAAATCCTTTGTGATGTCCATTCAGAGTTTACAGGTCCACCTGAGTAGCTCCAAGGGTCCCATTGATGTTTTCCTCTGTACGGATGGAGGTGACTCCGGGAGCCTGCTGCAAAACGGCCTTGATGTGAATGGAAATCACCCTGCGTTTCTCAAAGTCTCCCAAGGCAAGAACTACTTCAGCAAAACTTGTACATCAATAACATCTATTCCTTCCGAAAAAAAAAAAAAAGTTTCCTTCAAGTATATTTTCCTGTTCTTTATCTTTTCAGAAGCCGCTACAGATGGAATTGCTGATGGTGTGAAGACGAACGGCAGCTCTAACGGTAGCGTCAATGGTTATGGGCCCCTAACTGGAAGTTCCCCCATGTCACCCCTCAGTTCCTCCTTGTCCTCCATTCTCCAACAGCCAGAGGAGTCCATCCCCTTCGTGCCGCTGTCTCCTGCTCTTCTCAGCGATGAATACATGCTGGGCTTGGGTGATGAGCAGGGCATAAGCGATCTGTTTGACTCCTGCGACCTGGACACACTAGCGCTGGATGACCTGCTCAGGATATGAGCAAACCCAGAGGCCATCCGGACCTGTTTTCAAGTTAGTTGACGGTGCTTTTTAGTTCCTGAATGAAATCTGGATTGGCAGGATTGGTGGGGATAACTACAGACTGAATTTCATGAATTCCTGTCGCATTTGACATTGAGTGTTTACGCTTGGATCTTTAGGTTTACCGCTACAGGATCCAAGGTTTCTGTTGTCTGATACTGTTCAGATGGGTTTCTGTACCCTAATAATGTGGTATTTTTAGTGTGGTGAATTGTATGAGCTGTGTGATTTGTCTATGAACTTTGTCGTACTGGTTTTCCTGATGGCCGCCTCTACAAATAACACCTAAAAGGTCACAATTTCTTCAAAATAGAGTATTTCTCTACTCTCAATGTGAACGTTTTTGTCCTTTTGAGATCATCTCTTGCTTGCTTTCATGGGGAAAAAGAAACCTGCATCATAGGCTATCTAAATATCAAAGAAGATCAGCGAGGAGTTCTTTTATTGAATGATCCAAAGTGCATTTGGTGCTCTGTCAGTTATTATGCTTTATGACAGTGTTCAGTATCTCAGGGCACTGATCAAGGAGCCAAGTGCTTTGTGTGGTGATCTCTGGGTAAAATCAGATCGGAGCTATAGTGTCTTGTCCCCTTTGTTACCAAATGATTTGTGCAAAGAAATGAGGAAAAGACTTGTTCATCCATTTCGGTGTGATTCAAATAATAATGTAATGATTCTGCGAGTTCTCCTGTACTACAGTTTTGGCTCTTTTTTTTTTTTTAAACTTCAGATTGGAAACTGAATTTTGAATATGACCCTTATCTAGTCCCCCTTAATGTTGAATGTATTTCAGTATCTGAATTGCACTGAAGACTAAAGTCTTAAGAAACCATCACGGACATACAGGTACATCTAAAAAAAATTAGAATATCATGAAAAAGGTCAATATATTTTGTCACTCATTTCAGAAAGTGAAACCCATATATTATATAGATTCATTACACATAAGAGTGAAATATTTCAAGCCTTTATTTCTTGATATTGATGATTATGGCTTACAGATAATGAAAACCCAAAATTCAGTGTCTCAGAAAATGTGAATATCGTAAATAAGTTCAATATTGGAAAGTCATGGTGTCACACCTTAATCAGCTAATTACCTCAAAACACCTGCAAAGGTTTCCTGAGCCTTTAAATGGTCTCTCAGTCTGGGTCAGTAGGCTACACAATCATGGGGAAGACTGCTGACTTGACAGATGTCCAGAAGACAGTCATTGGCACCCTCCACAAGGAGGGTAAGCCACAAAAGTTCATTGCTAAAGAAGCTGGTTGTTCACAGAGTGCTGTATCCAAGCATATTCATAGAAAGTTGAGTGGAAGGAAAAAGTGTGGTAGGAAAAGGTGCACCAGCAAAAGGGATAACCGCAGCCTTGAGAGGATTGTCAGGCAAAATCCATTCAAGAATTTGGGGGAGCTTCACAAGGAGTGGACTGAGGCTGGCGTCAGCGCATCAAGAGCCACTATGCACAGACGAATCCTAGACATGGGCTACAAATGTCGCATTCCTCGTGTCAAGCCACTCCTGAACCAGAGACAACGTCAGGAGCGTCTTATCTGGGCTGTGGAGAAAAAGAACTGGACTGTTGCTCAGTGGTCCAAAGTCCTCTTTTCAGATGAAAGTAAATTTTGCATTTCATTTGGAAATCAAGGTCCCAGAGTCTGGAGGAAGAGTGGAGAGGCACAGAAACCATGTTGCTTGAAGTCCAGTGTGAAGTTTCCACAGTCAGTGATGATTTGGGCTGCCATGTCATCTGCTGGTGTTGGTCCACTGTGTTTTCTGAAGTCCACAGTCAACGCGCCATCTACCAGGAAATTTTAGAGCACTTCATGCTTCCTTCTGCTGACAAGCTTTATGGAGATGCTGATTTCATTTTCCAGCAGGACTTGGCACCTGCCCACACTGCCAAAGGTACCAAAAGCTGGTTCAATGACCATGGTGTTGATGTGCTTGATTGGCCAGCAAACTCGCCTGACCTGAACCCCATGGAGAATCTATGGGGTATTGTCAAGAGGAAGGTGAGAGACACCAGACACAACAATGCAGATGACCTGAAGGCCGCTATCAAAGCAACCTGGGCTTCCATTACACCTGAGCAGTGCCACAGGCTGATTGCCTCCATGCCACGCCGCATTGATGCAGTAATTCATGCAACAGGAGGCCCAACCAAGTATTGAGTGCATAGAAATGAACTTACTTTTCAGAAGCCTGACATTTGTTTAAAATATCCTTTTTTTTTTTTTTATTGATCTTATGTAATTCTAATTTTCTGAGACACTGAATTTTGGGTTTTCATTATCTGTAAGCCATAATCATCAAAATTTCAAGAAATAAAGGCTTGAAATATTTCACTCTGTGTAATGAATGAGTAATATCACTCAAGTACGAGTGTGATACCGGCTCTATATCAGCATGGCTGTGATTAGGCCCGAGGCACGAGGCCGCAGGCCGAGTGCCGGAGGCAATCACAGCCATGCTGATATAGAGCCGGTATCGCTCGAGTACGAAAGTGATGTTGCGTTTATACAACAATTCGACGGCACGAGTGTAAATATATATGAAAAACAACAACGGAGTGTCTTTTAAAAACCTTTTTGTGCGGAACTACTTCCTTCCGCCACCTATTCAAATCTCAGTTTGACAGTTTAACGGCTGAGCTGAAGCCTCCGTTACTAATTCGAAAACGTCACTTTAGAGCTAGTAACGAAGGAACGTTGAGTTGCTTCATTAACTTATTGTATTAATTAAAAGCTCACCGTGTTATGTAGAGTATTGTGTGAGAGAGAGATGGACTGAGCGAGTGCGATTACTTGCATCTGATACACCATTCATTCTTCAGCTCAATCTAATATTAAAGGGGTCATATGATGCTGTTAAAAAGAACATAATTTTGTGTATTTGGTGTAATGAAATGTTTATGCTTTTTAAAGTAAAAAAAAAAACACATTTTCCACATACTGTACATTATTGTTTCTCCTCTATGCCCCGCCTTTTTGAAACGCGTCGATTTTTACAAAGCTCATCGGTCTGAAAAAGCGAGGTGTGCTGTGATTGGCCAGCTATCCAATGCGTTGTGATTGGCCGAATACCTCAAGCGTGAGACGGAAATGTTACGCCCCTCACATACTGTCGAGGCCGTCTCCCGGCCGGAGCGACGAGACAAAAACATTAAAGCCCATTACAAACGAGGCATTTGTTGCATCCAGTGGGGACATAATTACTGATTATAATGACTTATACTGTCTTTTTACGCGTTGCGTTGCATTGCATCGGGCTAGAGTGAGCTGAGGCCGGGCTAGCGTGAGCTAAGGCCGGGCTAGAGTGAGCTGAGGTGGCGGGGTCGAGAACGGCGCGCCCGGCGGATCCAACGAATGAGCGGCAACCACATGTGATGACCCCGGGCTGAACTCCGCTTCGTCCACGGTGAACAAGCTGTTATTAAAAATAACTTCCGTTTTAGTCTCTTTCAATGTAAAAGTCTTAAATGCTGACTCGTAAAACAAGTCACTTGTCGCCGTCTAATGGCGGAACAATGTCACAAAAATCACCATCACGAACACTAATTCCTAATACTAATACTAAATACTACTATGTATAGAAAATATTATTTATTAAATAATAACAACAACAGCCATCATAAAAGCCATGCTCTAATATACAGCATTAAAGTTACATAAAATATAACGTGATGAGATTTTGCCTTCAGCTGAAATTATTTGCTCTGGAACAAAAAATAGATTAATGAGACCAAAGACTGCCAGTCAGATTTACACAAAACAAATTATATCTCATGTTTAACCACTATAGAGACATTAGAGCCAGAGGCCAATTCCAGAAGTTCTGGCCGAGGTGAGGCTGCTCTGGCGGGTTCATGAGCGCTGAATGGCCCCGGACGCCCTGGAGCTCACGTCTCTGAAAACGTCGAAGCAAATTTTCAAATAGACGTTATCTTTATTAACAAACCGTAGATTTGAAGTCTAAACAAGTACATTCTCGACTAAAAACCTTTTAAAACTACATTCCGTGACACAAAAACGGTATTATTTATACATTTTAGTGGATTTGGGTGTCCGCCATGACACTGGCTGTGAGAAATACTGGAAGCGGAGTGATGCAAGCGGTGAAAGGGAGTTCCTGTGGTGATACCAGTACAATATCTCATGGTTTTCAACCAATCAGATTTGAGAACCAAAATGAACTGTTGTATAAATCTATATAATATATGGGTTTCACTTTCTGAAATGAGTGGCAAAAAATATTGACTTTTTTCTTGATATTCTAATTTTTTGAGATTTACCTGTATGTGGTGTAAATCTCCACATGATTATGAAACATTTAGTGTCCCACAGAAAAATATATATTTTTTTTTTTTTTGTAGCTTGCATTATTTCCCCTCATTTTCTTTGTCCATTCCAATAAATTAACTTTTATTTTTATTTATTTATTTTTTTTAATGTTTTTTGGAGAAGCCTCATTACATGCTTATAAACCGGACACCGTTCTAATGCTTAATTTTTTTTCCTCCTTTATTCCTTCAATCCTGCAAATGAATCTAAGCCGATCTGTTACTTTAGTTGTATTTTCTGTAACCATTTTAGGAAAGTTCAATTGTCTAATACTTCAAATGTGAAGTAACTTGTTAATGCAGATTTTGCTCTGGTTAAAGTAAATTATGGTGCATAATTTTGAATTTGTGCTAATGCTCACTAGTTCTCTTGATTCTGCATTGGAATGAGGGTTTGGTCATGTATGCAGCCATATTGCATAGAAAATGTTATGATTAATCACCAGTATGTATTCTATTCTACGGTGCGGTTTGGTTTCCTCCAAAATGTAGATTTTGATCCAAGTGGTTTTTTTTTTGTTTGTTTTTTTTTGTTTTTTTTTAAACAATTAGGGAGTTTTGTGTGCCAATGTGTGTGGAAATGTGAAGTTTTATATGTGGATTATAAACTGCGCATCAATTGTTTGCAAATTGTTTTTAATAAAGTTATGAATTTCTGCATATTCTTCCCTGTAAATCTTGTGTGTATCATTGGTATGATGGAGATGATGAAAAATGATTTCAGTTTATATAACCAGTTCTGTGGTCATGTCCTGATTCCATGCTAAACGTTTGTCATTCAGAATTTGTTCATTCTGAGGAGATGGTTACTGAACATCATAACTGGATTTGTAAAAAATGTGCAAAAAAAAATAAATCCATATCCTGAATGTTACAAAAAGGGAACAAGATGATGTTGCCTGTAAGCTTGACCAGTTTTGCCAGTAGGGTAAGCTGGGTCACTTTTTAGTTTTTATAATATTAACAAGAAATCGAATTCCTAACTCTTCACTCATTTAAATTAGTATTGAATATATTTTTCTATTTCTGCATTAAGGTCCAATGTGATGCCTCCTCTGATGCCTGTTGTCCCCTCCCTTGCCATTAGATGGCATGTTCTCCATTTGAAAGAGAAATGTCTCTCAACCGCAATCTTGATAATGTTCCACTCAAAATCAGTGCAGTGACATTTAATGTAGATCTTAACACTGCTGCTTTCAAAACCAAATGAGCATTTTTTTTTTTTTTTTTTTACGAAGGCTTGCATATTTACTTTATATGGCTTCCTTTAGTGCATGATGAATTATATGATCATTTCAAATCCTTTTAAAGACATTTCGCAGCATTTGAGGTGATTAAATATTTAATTTCATATTATTTTTGTGAGTCCCGTCAGCACAGCCAACGTCATCAGAATGAACAGACAGACTCGTTCTTCCACAGATGTCCCTTATCTTGCCACGTTTAGACTAATGCGCCTCGGCTCCGAGTCTGTCTGCTCTTTGTCTGGAAGAACCAGCAGTGAATGGGCAGGCAATCTATGATGTAATTTGTTTTGAGTGGCGCCCTTCTCATCTGCCTGTAGGGGGCACTGTTGAGACAACAAAGAGGGCCCAGACCCACTTAACCTAATTCCCCAGTTTTGCTTGCCAGACACTAGGTTCATGGAAAGTCACAGATTTTTTCAGTTATTCAAATTATAGCATCCATCCAGCAGTTAAAACAAATGGCTGCAGCTGTTCTCGTTGGTTATGTGAAAACTGATATTTGTGTGCCCTTGATTAATGCTTCATTCAGCTGCTGTTGTCCACACAGGCTCCGGTGGGAAATTTCAAGCCAGACATTTGCAAAGCACCCTTTATTTTAGCCCATGTGCTCGAACAGCCACAGCACCCTGTTGCTGTCACGCAGTGATCTGATTTTTCAAAATGATTGTTTTGTATGTAATAATAGTGTTCTGGAGTGTCCAATTCGTTCCACTAAATGCGTATCAGTGCTACAATAAAGCTGAAACGTGCACACAGCGGACACGTGCGCACATGCACAACATACGCTGCGCCTCATTCATAAAAGCACACGCCGTGTTTTGATGGATACTGATTGGAGGAAGGCTACGCTACGCTGCGATTCGCCGCATTCTATGTCGCCAATCAGAAGCAGGCTGCTCTTCATTCCTCTCTGTTTCAGAGTTTCAGTAGAGTCTGACTGCTCAACTGGATCCTTTTTTGCAGCAGTGGCCAGAGGTCACTATAAACAAGGATAACGTAATGCTGTAAGGTATCATAGAACACCATATGCATGTTTTGAAATCCATCTTATCCAGACTGATTTGTAGTCATATTCCTAGTTATTACGTTCAGGAAGAGATATTTGCACACCATGAAAAGCAGTCATGGGGTTTGCATGTGCTAAATGTAGTAACTGTAGTAATGTAGGCAACTGAATGACTTATGACAGAATGCTAATGAAACTAACTACTATTGATATGCTGTGCTATTTTTGATTCTTGTTTGCAAGTTTGATTGACATTATAATTTATATCACATCAGAATCATGTTTTTCAGCATTAGCTGACTGACTGTTATGACAGGACGCTAGTGAAACTAACTACTATTGATATATTGTGCTATTTTTTTCTTGTTTGCAATTTTAACTGCAATTATAATTTATATCACATCAGAATCATGTTTTTCTTTTAGCATTTGCCTGTGTCTCTTAGGAAAATTATAATGGTTACCCAGCTTGAAATGTGTCTTTTTCTTTTGCTTCATTCACAGATGTTTGAGATTTAAACCCAGATGTCTCATTTGTGGACTAAATTAGTAGCTGGACAGCTGCTTCTTCAGACTACTGACCGAATGACCACACAAAATAGTACCCCATGCCCCTTGTGTTTAGCATTATTTAAAATAAATGGCATGCCTGCGTTTTGTTTTATTTTTTGGAAATAGTTGTCTGCAGTTATTTGCATAGACATACACAGGCCTTATGTTATATATACTGAATAACCCTTGTGAAAAAGACATGCTTAATATGCTAAAGTGTGAACTGAATGCAATGTTTTCGGACACTTAATTGTATTTTAATTGTAATAAATTGTATTATAGTTTTTACAATTGTATAAATTGTATTATAGTATTGTATAGTTAAATCTATATTAAATGCATGTAGCTGAACTTTATATTGTTTCCCACTTAAGTAGGACTTAATAAACACATTTTTATTTGTAATTTCATGAAATAAAGTCATGAAAGTGTTTTCTTAAAGCACACTTGGCCTTCTATTTAATTAATATTATATTATCTGCAAATACAATTCATAAAAATATACTTTTAAGATCTGAAGTACACTACAAGTGCACATTCAGTAGAACTAAGAGTGCTTCTTTTCACAAGGGATTTTATAAGGCTTTTTGGTTGAAATACAGGAATTTGATTGATACGGATGTGAGGACACGTCTTTCGCCAAGATTGCTTCTGTTTGCCTATTGAGCTTACATAAGACTGTTTAATTATATATGTGTTTGATACGTATATGCAGTCAGTTCAGTGATGGATAATTAATCGGACAGAATTGTATGTTGTCAGTGAGAATGTGTGTGTGATTGATCCAGATGGTTTAGTTTCCAGATGGGAATAATAGAAGGAATTCTCATGAGGAGTGTATGTACTGTTTGTGTAGTAGATAGCACACATTTGATGGCTAAATATTCTCTACAGGTTATATCATAATACATACTCTCATGGTACATGACAATATACCATGATTCAAAAATGAAAATCGAAAATGAAAATTCTGTCATTCATTTAATAACCTCATGTTGTTTGAAGCCTACAGTGGGCGTAGAAAATAATCACATTTTGTTGCTTTGCAGCCTGAAATGAAGACACAGTTTTTGTTTTATCCTGCTGTATTTGCTCAGTGCAACTTATAACATCTAAGTGAAAGATATAACACATGTCAGAAAAAAAAATTAAAAAACAGAATCACTGAGTTGGAAAAAGGATCACCCCTTCCTAAAAATGACTTGTAAACTCAGCTGTGGTCATTTTGATTCGCTCAGCATGAAAAGAGCTTTCCTTGAGCATTTCAGTCCTTGGTAGTGCAACTGAAGCAAACAATCAACTATGGGTGGCAAGGCACTGTCAAAAGATCTCCGGGATAAAGTTGTGGACAGGCACAAGTCAGGAGATGGATACAAAAAAAATTCAAAGGGAGGAAACTGATCAGAGAGGCGAACAAGAGGCCTACAGCAACTCTGAAGCGGCTGCAGGAATTTATGACAAAGAGTGGTCATTGTGTGCATGTGACAACATTATCACAAATTCTCCTCAAATGTGGCTTGTATGGGAGGGTTGAAAGAAAAAAAGCCACTCCTCAAGAAAGGCCACATGCAGTGACGACTGAGCTTTGCCAAAACACACCTTGAAGATTCTGAGGCAGATGAGATTAAAACTGAATTGTTTGGCCTCAACTCCAAACAATATGTCTGGCGGAAATCCAATACAGCTCACCATCCAAATAACAGCATTCCTCCAGTAAAGCATGGAGGTGGTAAGATCCTGTTATGGGTAGTTTCTCTGCAGCAGCGACTGGAGCACTTCTTGTCAAGATAGAAGGAAAAATGGATGGGGCAAAATACCGTCAAATTCTTAAGAAAAATCTGCTGCCCTCTGCCAGAAAGTTGTCAATGTGAAGAAGGTTTACCTTCCAACATGACAATGACACAAAGCACACAGCAAAACTGAGCACACAGTGGTTGAAGGAGAAAAAGGTGAATGTCCTTGCATGACCTAGTCAGAGCCCAGACTTGAACCCCATTAAAAATCTGTGGAATGACTTGAAGACTGCAGTCCACAAACAGTCACCATCAGATTTAACTGAACTTGAACAGTTCTGCAAAGAAGAGTGGACAAATATTGCAAAGTCATGACAATGATTCAAAGCACACAGCAAAACTGAGCACACAGTGGTTGAAGGAGAAAAAGGTGAATGTCCTTGCATGGCCTAGTCAGAGCCCACACTTAAACCCCACTGAAAATATGCAGAATGACTTGAAGACTGCAGTCCACATACTATGATTCTTTTTATATCCACTGTATATGAAAGATTTTATTCTGTGGGACACAAAAGATATTTTGAAGAACGTTGGGGTTCGAACATAATTGCATCCCACTGACTTTCATTGTATTGACACAAAAATACTCAAAATATCTTCCTTTTTGTTGTACAGAAGAAAATAATCTGTTTGGACTCTCATTCTGACGGCACCCATTCACTGCAGAGGATCCATTGGTGAGCAAGTGATGTTAAATGATACATTTCTCCAGATCTATTCTGATGAAGAAACAAACTCGTCTACATCTTGAATTGACTGACGGTGAGTAAATCATAAGCAAATGTTAATTTTTTGGTGAACTATCCCTGTGACATATTCTGAAATAGAGTCATAATTTTGTACCGAATGCTTTTATTGGCACAGACTTTTCACAAGATAATTATATTACATCTGATTCTGAAGAATGACTGTCGGTAGCTCTTACTGGCATGACTTATTGAGTCCGTTGGAGTTTATTTGATTAGGATTCCTACTGTAATGAATTGTAAGCAAACTAATGGTGAGATATGAAAACAGTTATTCACATATTCATACACTAACATCCTTACTGCATTAATATTATAGGCTCAATAAAAGCATTAACTAATTTTTTTAAAGGAGAACTCCTGACGTTTGGCACATTGGCTTGTCTCTTTCATGCACTGACCCCAGCCGTCGGGATGAGGTAATGTGTGCCCCCTGCATAAGCAGCAGCCAGTGACCGCCACTTTAAATTGGCTTGCCGCAGATATGCAACACTGCCCTGTTGAGCGGCCAATTTGTAATGCTGGAACAGCACATGGCTGCTACCCGCTAGTGACAAACTCAGGCCATTTCATATGGTGCTAATGCGAAATTAATGTAATATTTGTTGAAGGTAGCACCTTCTTGTAAGAAGTGACAGACCAGCTGTTGTCTGCGTAACGCTCCAGTTGCACCAACACAGACAAAAGCACCTGAACTTCCTCACAACCCCACCTGCGAACCGCAGATACCGCGTGAGGACAGAGCAGTAGGTTCCGGATGTGGTCCCTGGCCTGGTCATTTGCATATAGTTGCCCCCTAAAGCCTGCTGGTAATGTCAAGAGGCTAAATTAACTAGTTTTCAGTTTGCATCTCATTTGCATTGAAGCTGCTTAACCGAGGTTGCTCTAGGTGACCTTAATTGCCTTCGTCCTTGTGCAGGGAGAAAGCAGCCTCTGATTGCAATTAATTTCATTAAGGAAAGTATCATTATGACCCAGAGAATACATTTGCATGCTGTCAGAATGGGGATTTGCAAGCTGTTCGCAATCAAGTTGCGTTTTGCATGTGTAGATGTTCTGTCATACTTTTCGTAAGGATGAAAAATTAAGCCAGGCTATGATGAGTGTTGCCTTCATCAGCACGATCAATCTCACTCAGAAAAGAAGAAGATGCATTCATTACATTAGCAGGGGAGGTTCATAGTTTTGCCACATTAAACGGACTGCTTTTGCCACAGGTTAATGTGAAGGTCTGTAGTCTTCACTGTCTGAAGAAAAAGCACAGGGCTGGGTGAAAGGGAATGAACTCGTTTAAAATGTTTAGCAAGGACAAGATTTTGGATGATTTGAAGCTTTGTATAAATAATGGGATCCAAAAGTGTGATCTAATTTAAAACTAATTCTATTCTATTTTAAAGGCAAATAGTTTTAGGACAACTATATATATATATATAT